CGGAGCAGAAACATCGAGAAATCTAGTTCCCACTGTGGTGATTCTTCAGCAAAACGGGCTTAAAATTTTGCATGGATGACGTCTTGCCCCTCTTGAAGATTTAATGGCATATCGTAGCTTTATTGATTTAGATTTAGACGTGCCTGCATTTAAATCTAAATTTAATTTAAATTTAGATTTAAATGTACATGCATTTAAATATGGAGACCTATAGATTAAATGATGGAGGAGGAACGACAAAGAAGGCTAGGACAGGTTAGTTTGGAATTGCTAAAAAAGACCAACCATACTGGCATTTTTTCCTTCACTTAGATGGCTATAAATAAATTTCCGATCATCCTCAGAGAATCGTATGGAACGCCACGTAGAAAATACTGCTTTCTGTACGTCTGGCTGCCAAACCCTTCCTTATTAAATCAGTTTCTTTTTAGAGCTGGGAATAATAGAATTGCAAGGGGAGTGAAAATACGTTTCTCGAGATACGGGTGGCGTTTGTAAAAATACGCTGGAAACGTTTGCACCCGTGTCTTGCCTGTTTAATGTTTTTCTCTTTGTGCACAGGGCGTGTGTGTGATTGTGCACCAAGCGTGTATATGGTTAAATTAACAATCCTGGAATAGTGCATTAGTGCACGGATGGCTTGGGAAAAAATCAATTATTTGTGGAGGTAAAGGAATCACGGGGGGTTTGGTATCAGTTTGGTTACGAAATAGGAAGTTTGCAGAGAAGTGGACATTTACGTATTGTGGTTGCATGCAATTTTGGGAATTAGCATAGTGCCCATTCATACAATCTTTCTGTAACTTTCAGCTGACATGTTTTAAAAATAAAATATAAATGGGGGGGGGGTCCTTCTCTGTACAGTTATTATGTAGATCAGTCCTTTATTTCAGAAAGCTGCCCTTTAGATTTATTCATTTTTCAAAAACTGAAACATTCTGTCCTTTAGTTTGGTCTTTTAACTTCTGCCGCACAAATGGTCCCACTTTATGCACAGCCTTTTCCATTCCTGTGAAAAATATGGAAATGGAATGGTCTTCTTAAAATAAATTTACATATGCAGTTGGATTTTAGACATTCTTCTCTGAATCTGCGTTTTTGTAAAGTTTGCCCTGGTTCTGCTCTTGAATTTTCCTTTGTGAAGCAAAGTGATACACAATTACAATTTTTTTATCCTCAGGAACCTCTTTCAGATTTGCCCCTTTCTCAGGTTTGTCCTTGATTTTTGCCAAGAAAATAGGGTCTTGTATATACCTATATGACTTTTTACATATAATTTTTATGAAAGACGTTTTTAACAAGATGAAAACAGTACAAATTTTGAAAAGGACGTCCAGAAAATAAAGAAAAGTGACGAGTGGAAAAAAAGAAAAATTAAAATAAATAAAATAAAATAAAATAATTTGCCCAGAGGTGTGGATATTCGAGTGGTAAAAGGAACATTTGTTGGGGCTCACATTTTCCTCCTCCATCAATGCAACCATTGATCTCCCTAACTGGGTTTTTTACAGAAACTAGCCCACTTCTATTTTTCATTGCCTTGCAAGACCAGCTTGGGGGTCACCTGACCCATCCCACCTCCACATGAACAGATGTTCTCCTGTCCCATTTTGGACTTATTCTGCTCCGTTTCTCTTGGCTGGAGACAAGACCACCAACCTTGAAGCAGATTGCAGCTAGATGCCTTGAGAAACATTTCTCCTCCCTTTCGCTAGCTCAACACTCATGCTAAAATAAATTTACCAGACCAGCTCCTTGTCACTGTCTTCTCATTTCTACCCCCTTGGAGACTCATTCCACTGGAGAAGTCCTCTGGAAATCTTCCAGTTCTGATTTCATTCTTTCCCCCTTATTCTTCTGAGTTCTTCACGTTCTCTGAACTTGATTGGAATATTGCCAAGCATAGAGAACTTCAAGAACCCAAAAGTTTGACCCTGAACTGCAAATATTCTGTACTATTGAAACCCTTATTCTTTTCCAGAAGAGGCTGTTTCCAACCACACCTTGAACCAGGTCCCGTAAAGATCTGGCTGTTGCTAAAATTGATTAGGGTTAACTCTGGTTAATTTTGGGTGGTTTGATATGTTGAGCGAATTCCCCAAATGGATTAATTCATTGTCAGGGTAAAGGTATTGTGTGAATATATAGGACGGAGGCATGGAGAACTGGTAGCTTGGAGAACATTGATTTTTCTGCAAAGCCTGCTCTCCAGGATCTCAGGTCTATGTTCTGGGAGGAAAAGCAGGTTGCAAGCATACTTCAGTTTTTAAAAACCCTTCCTACGAATATTGTTTTTGGTCACATACCCATATTGACTTGGAAGACATCTACCTAATGTGCTAGATAACAAAGAAAATTGTAAACCTCAAGAAGGAAACAGCAGCCATGAAGGCCTTGGAAAAGATATTCAAATGCCGTGATGTGTCTACCTACAAAGATCAGAATCGAGCAAGTCATGGTCTTCCCTGTGACCCTCTTTGGAAATGAAAGTTGGACTTTAAAGAAGCAGGATAGGAAGAGTATTGACACCTTTGAACTTCAGTGTTGGAGAAGACTCCTAAGAAGATCACTGACAGCCAAGAAAACAAACCGATGGATCATCGAACAAACCAACCCAAAGTTCTCCCTCAAGGCACAAATGACCAGGCTCAAATTAACCTACTTTGGGCCCATGACGCGAAGACCTGGAGAAGGTTGTGGTGCTGGGAAAGGTGGAAGGAAGGAGAAGAAGAGAACCACCAGTAGCAAGGTGAAGGGACTCAGTTACAGCAGCGAAGGGGACACCGTTGGGAGACCTGAAAGACCAGGTTGGGGATAGATTGTCATGGAGAACATCTATTTACGTGGTCACTAGAGTTAAAAATGACTTGACAGCACATCATCAATCAAATACAAATTCCTTAACTGTCCTGTGCCACTCAATGCCCCCCTGCAAACGCCCCCCAATCTGCCAATATAACGCTATCTTCCCTTGCACCATCTAGCCTCCTCATTCCTGCAATGGCTGCGCCCTCCATTGCATTCATGAAACCAATGCTATTTAATTCTTCTTCTTGCAACATCCAGGAGGTCCAAGCAGCAGAACTCTTAATGCAACCGGGTGAGTTCCAGGATAGATGTGCAAGGTCTTACGGGCCCAGCTTGGCTTTTGCGTGATATGGGAGAGGCTGCTCTTTAGAAAGGCATAGCCGATATTACAAGCTCACTTTGATGCATTGCTCTCTCAGCTGAATGGAAAGTAAAATCATAGAGCTGGAAGGGGAAATGTGGACCGGCTCAGTGCAGAAATCCAATTTAAATTTGCCTACTCTCTGCTTGCCACGGTCCAAAAGCTCTGACGATTTTCCACGCCTTTGTTTGGAACCTGCCTTCTTACAGCTTCGTTCCGTTATTCCACGCCCTGCAGTCTGGAACAGGGGAGAACGGGTGAAGCGTTCGGATCAGGACTGTGGCCCCAGAAGGGGCCACTGAGATCCTCCAGCCCAACCCACAGTCAGTCACAGGGGTTCCTAGAGCAAGGAGTTGTGACCTTCTTCGGCATGACACCCTTTTAGAAATGTGAATGGCTGCCCCACTGCGATCTTTGCTCAGGACCTCACATTTTCAACCTCATCTCCGGTCCTCTGATCAGCCTCACTGCCCTCCATTATTATGATTCCTCTCCCGTTACCTAGTTTCCCTTCTGCACAACAGCCTGGACAGGGAGGATGGAGGCAGCTGGCCTTGGGCGCTTCCGGCTCACCGCTTCAGCTCTTAACCCCAAGATCCATGGGGCTGGGGCTGAGTATCTCCTTTGCTTTCTCTGTGCAGCTTTCTCGCATTTGCCACCAAAATCTTGAGCCAGTGCTCCTTGCTTGATTCTCGGGGGCACCCTCCTTCCTTAGACCCAGATCCCACAACCGCCCTCCTCTTCCTCAGAAGACTCCAGGCATCAGGAATTCACTGGACTCTCCTGATCTTAACTCCTCCGCCTGAATAGCCTCCAAGATGATTTCTTCAGAAGACCCACATTGATTTATTGGCAGCGCCCGGCTCTGAATCTTGGCTGGTTTTGCTCGCCTTCCAGCTGTCCCTGAAAAGAAAAATGATGGTCACCAGACCAGATCTTTATTAGTGGTGTAGCTAGATAACTTGGGGCTTAGCAGACTTAGTGAATAGAGGGCTCTTCGACGGTCATAAATGATTAGCAAATTAAAATTGCCTTTGAGCTGAACTCAACTCCTGGTGCTTTGGTGTAGTTTTCTTGGCAGCAAGATGAAAATACTTTGCTATTGCTTTTCTCCAGGGTACTTTTAGCTAGAGACCGAAGATTTCCTGGTGGTCTCCCATCCAAGACACATAGGCAAGTTTGCTCCCCCCCCATTTTGCTTTTGGAGGTCAGCCAAGGTTAGCTAGGGCTCCCACTGAGTTGGCTATAACCCAGTTGTCCAAGGATATTAAATAAAATAATAAAATAGTATCTGCAATGAGCTTGGTCTAAGATTGCCTCTGGGGGTGGGGTGGGGATTCCTAGAAAATAAAATGTGGGGAGTTGGTTGGAACCCATGTTCAAGGTTTGTTCAGTACCCTGAAATGTCAATGAATGAAACAGGCTACATTTGCACACGTGACGTTGCACCGGACGCTACCAGTGTCTGCATTCACCAAGTAGTACGAAGGCAACTGGCAGGCCATGAACTGGCTTGGTTAATCCTACAAGAACAAGGTGCAACTTGGGGTGGGGGCTGAGGTCTGTACCTGGGGGCTGTGCTCCAAAAAGACTGGGAGGAGGGGGAGCATCAAAGCGATTTCATTCACTGACACGGACCGCCAGACCTCAGTTTGCAGCGACTTGCGTCCATCAAGCCAGCTTCTGTGAAGCTACAACTTGGTTTCTCTTGGCATCCTTTTAGCAAGAGCTGTGTTTTGTGAACCTGGGTCTGGGGGATTGTGTGGGAATCTCATCTTTGCGCCTTGCTAGCAGAAGACAACCATGCCTTTCTTTGCTCCTTCTCTTCCAGCCTGCCAAGTGGGGTTTTATAAGTCTTCCCCTGGAGACCAGCTCTGTGCCAGGTGCCCCCCTCACAGCTATTCCGAGACCCAGGCCGCGCAGGTGTGTCGCTGTGAAAGCACCTTTTACCGGGCAGCCCAGGACCCCCCTTCGGCAGCCTGCACACGTATGCACTTCCTTTCTGCTAATTGTCCATTCCCCAGCTTCATCTTCACCAACTGCATTTCCCTTCTCATGCCAAATTTCCCAGTTTCGCTTGTCAGTTGCACTTCCTTTCCAATGGCAAATATCCCAGTTTTATCTTCCCTAATTTCATCTCCTGTCCAATTGCAATTTCTCCAATTACATTTCCCTTCCAATGGCAAGTTCCCCAATTTCATCTTTGTCAATTGCATCCCCTTTCCAATTGCAAATTCCCCAATTTCATCTTCCCTAATTTCATCTGGTTTCCAATTGCAATTTCCCCAATTCCATTTCCCTTCCAATTGCAAGTTCCCCAATTTCACCTTCATCAATTGCGTTTCCTTTCCAATTGCAAATTCCCCCCAATTTCATCTTCCCTAATTTCATCTGCTTTCCAATTGCAATTTCCTCAATTACATCCTCCTTCCCATTGTGAATTCCCCAGTTGCATCTTCACCAGTTACATTTCCCTTCCAATTACAAATTCCCCAATTACATTTCCTTTCCGATTGCAAGTTCCCCAATTCCATCTCCATCAATTGCATTTCTATTCCAATTGCAAATTCCCCAGTTGCATTCCTTCCTCTTCCCTGCTCCTGGTATTTTTAATTAAAAGAAGCTAAGGATTTGCACAATTCTGAAGCGAGACAGTTGGTAAAATTATAAAACAAAGACAACAGTTAGACTCCAAGAATTCAGATAATTAAGAAGTTCCCTCTTATTCATGGGAATAGGAGACCATATTTTTTCCTTTCTTTCTTGGATTGTAATACACCCAAAAATAATTTGTGAAACCGCAGGAGAGTAAACAGCAAAACAGCAAACAAGATCTCAAGCTATTTTTTTGTGGTTTACATTTTAGAAAATCCACTGATTTGGAAAATGATAGAAATCCATGGTTGGAGTATTGGATTATGATCTGCAAGACCGAAGATTTAGTCCCCAACCAATCACGGGGTGATTATGGGTGACTTTGGGCTCTTAGCTAACGTTCAAGGTCACTCACCCACACTTAGTTCACAAGGTTGTTGCAATGATAAATTTGGGGGAGGTGAACATCTATATCTTGATATCCTGGAGGAAAGATGACATGTAACTAATAATAAATAAGTCAATGAATGAATAAATCTTGGCACCTCCCATTGGTTCATCTTTTAAGATGGTGGACAGTTTGCAAGATGGACACTGTAGACAAGTGTTTCTCAACCTTGGCAACTTTAAGATGAGTGGACTTTAACTCCCAGAATGCTGGCTGGGGAATTCTGGGAGTTGAAGTCCACACATCTTCAAGTGGTCAAGGATGAGGAACACTGCTATAGATGTTCTCCACCTCAACCCAAGGTGCTTTCTTCTGGAGGAAAATATTGAGGAAACCCCTTGAAACAAAGCCAAAATATTTCCATGGGAATATTTAACAGTACGGAAAGTAGGAAAATTACCCTCCCAAATCTTGACTGTCTCCTCCCTGAGTTTCAAGGTTTTAGCTCCATCCTCTCTCAAGGCATTTGGCCTCTGGTTTGGGACTGGGGAGAGAAAGACTTTCAGCCACCATTTTGCGGAAGGACCACTGCCTTGAAATACAGCCACATCAAGCTTAGGAAGACAGATCCTCAGCAGGGCCAGAAAGTTAGAGTCACAATTCAGGTAGAATTTCCCCCATTCTTTAAAAACTACCAACCAGGGATCAAAGATGTAAAGTTGGGCTTTCAGAACATCTCATAAGTCCACCAAACCAGCAGCGACTCCACGTTGTGGCTTCCTAGGTCTTCTGCTGCTCGTACTTGTCAACCGGGTTTTTTCAAAATCCTTCTCCAGGGAGCTATGAAACATCTTTGCTCGCAAAAGGTGTGTCAGTTCATGGGGCAAGCCAGCAAAAGTGAGAAAGGAGGTAGATTTGCATTTTTCCCACCCCGGGCCTGTTTCTAACACTTGTCCTCCACCGAAATGTTGACCCTTAATTTATCGTGAAATATTTGGGGATTTCAAGATTGCAATTCCATGTTTATGTATTAAGAGGGCTTCATTTAAAATTCAAAATAGGAGTGGCGCTTATGATTTGCGAGCCAGTGCACACAAATCTTTCTGAGCTTTCCTGATAGCTCCCAACCGTAGCTGGAAGGGGTGTCGAAAGTAATTATTCCACCTGCTTCTTCCAGCACAGAATTGCAGCCTTAGGGTTCTTGCGTGCAATTTCAGGCTGCGTTCACACAATCTGCTTGCTCTGATCATACCCATGTTCTGGGTTGGCAGATCCGTGGGTTGATCAGCCAAGCAACCACGCTCGCCCAAGTCACAAAAATAAATATTAAAACAAAAAACAAAAACTCCACCGCCCTAACTGAGATGAAAATAACCCAAGCTGTGTTGTGTGAACGCACTTGAAAGATTCTAATTTTAATTTCAGAGCTGACCTTAAGATGAGGGTCATCCTGGAATCCCGTGTCTTCTTTCCCACTTGGATGTTAATGGTGTCATAAGCAAGACGTCCCGACAAAAAAACTCTTCCTACTGTCATTCCACCGCAAATGAAATTTAGAGAAATTTACCATCCGGGGGGTAGATAAAGGGAGGTGTCTGTAGCGGTTCTCTCTGAATTGTGACCTCAGCCTGGTCCACCAAGGAAAACCATAAAGAAATGAGGTTCAACCATCCACTGTTTGATTCCCACCCTGTTTTTCAGCCAGGTTTGATCAGAGAACTTGATCAGAGAAGCAGGTGAAGGATGAACGTTACCATCTAAAACATCTGGAGGGGTTTCAGATTGAGGGGGCTTGGGGTAAATTCATCCATAAGTGGGAATTTGGGGTGGGGTGGGGAGGCTGCCCTTCAAGTTGGACATTGAGGTGGCTTGACTCTTAGCTCCCTCTGAACCTCTCCAGGTCCCCCTTCTGCTCCCACCAACCTGCTCTCCAGCGTGAACGGCACGACAGTGACCCTCGAATGGGCACCTCCGTTGGACAAAGGAGGACGCCGAGATGTCACCTACAACGTGATCTGCCGTCGCTGCATCTGGGGTGGGGGCCAGTGCGAGGCCTGTGGGGCCGGGATCCGCTTCCTCCCCCAGCAGATGAATCTGGCTCAAGGCTCTCTATCCATCTCCAATCTCCTGGCCCACACCAACTATTCGTTCTGGGTGGAGGCCATCAACGGTGTCTCCGACCTCAGCCTTGAATCCCCAAGATTTGTGGCCGTCAACATCACCACAAATCAGGCAGGTAGGAGAAGGTGTGCCCACCCCACCCTACCCCACCCTAAGCAAACTGACTTTCAACTTCTCCTCCATCTCTTCTTCCGTGGAAGAAGGTTCAGAATCAACTTTTATGGTTCTGAGAACCCCCTTCCAGCATCTGTTGGGAAGGCTCCCACAAGGATGAAGCCTGGCCAGATTTGCAAGGAATTACTTTATATACTCAGTGCGCTCGCATGTTGTAAATCAAATCAGTCCCCTGTCTGCTCAGTAGCTGACCGTTATAAGATTGCAGCCTTAATTGTAGCTATTAATGGCAATCATTTACAGCATTGGCTGCTCTGGTGGGATTAATTTTAGCCTAATTGTTATTATTAATGGCCAGGAAACCTGGGATCCAGATGCAAACGGAACCGCGCGTAGCATTTTGCTGAAGGTTTTTTAATGGTTTATAATATTTCCTATTTTATGTGCAATCACTTTCCCAATAGTTCTTAATGGTGGATTGACAATTTTCACTGCTGGAGTCTTATTAAACCATTTTTTACATTTCTCTGATGACCCCAAGCTGTTTCCCTCCCTTCTTCCGTTTAAGGGTGTGTTTTTTCTTCTTCTTCTTCTGTTCAGTCTCAGTTTTCCTCTAAAATATCCGTACCGGCTCTGCAAGCCGAAGGATAAAGTTGTGCGACATGTAAAAACATATGACCGAGTTTGAAACAAAGCCCCATTTCAATTCCAAAGAACAAGGAGAGAAAAACAGTTAAAAGTAGAGGATGAAGAGAAATTCACTCGGCTTGCATTTTCTAAATGCAGAAGTTCACATTTTCTTGGCTGAGAGTCACACGTAGCTTTTGACCAGCGTGCCAGAAGTTGCACTCCCAAATCAGCAGTGACACTGCGTTTCATTTCCATGTCAACTTCATGAAAATTCACTTTAATTAATCAGATTAGTCTCCCTCCCTGTCTTGAATTGTTTCTCCATTCTGTCTTGTCGAAAGCTATAATTTTCTAACACGTTTTAGATGATTTTTGTGGTTCCACCTAAGGTTTTGAAAACCAGGTGGGGACAGGATGGAGATTGCTGGCCTCTAATTGAAAAAAAACAGACCTGTTTTTTTTTTTTAATTAAAATGATCCAAAGAGGAATGAGCAATAATTGCAGATGTCCAAAAAGCATAGTATAAAATATTTAAGTAGCAATTAGTGGCTGAGAAAAAAAAGAGAAAAGGCAGGGGAGGGAGAAAAAAGGTGAATGCTTTTCAAAAATATTTTTTAAAAAACGAATCTATCTTTTTGAGGCCTGCTTTGCCTTTTTTCAAAAAAAAATTTTTTTAAGAAAAAAACCTTTTTATAACCATCGTATTTTCATTTCACCCTTCGCTCCAGTGTAAGGTTCATTTTATGTAGGTAGATGTATCCTTTTCCATCTTTGTTTTTGCTTGTTTATTTACTTAATTAGTAACGTGTTTTTTTTTTAAAAAAAAGAACAAGGATAGAGAAAACTGGCTTGTGCATCAAGGTCACCTTGCATTCGTTGCATTAAATAGAAAGCACGTTCTGCATCGTTCACCATCTTGCTACATCTACAGCAACTTGTCTCTTGGGAATGCAATCGCGCTATCTATCTCAGTCTACGTGGCTTCTCAGATTTGCTATTTGGAGAGAAATAATCCCCATGCAAGGAACAGGTTGTTGTTTTTTTAAAAAACCCACCAAATTTCTGAAGTGCAGAAAAGGCCTCCTCCTTAATTTTTACTACTTTCATCTGATGCAAGGGGAGAATTTGATTTTCAAAAGGTTTTTCAAAGGGAGAGACCGTTTTTTATGATGTTCACAAGGATGGGGTGTTCTTTAGGGACAAAGGTTGCTGGGGTTCCCTACTTCCTTCTCTTTGCTTCAGTCTCAATGGAAGATGTTCCTCACAAAATTTTAGCATTTGGGGGTGTTCTTTTGGAGATTGGCAACTCTAAGGGGCCAAGGTGGGCACTGAAAGATGGAAAGGTTTATTCCTGGGGACAACTCCAACCTCAGCAACTTCCCCACCTCTAAATAAATAAAATAAAATAAATTGGAAAGCACTTCTAAGAACACATCAGAATCAATTCTCCAGCTTCTGACCATCAAACAGCAAAGCAGAACATTCTTGGACTAGGAGAGGCAATGATTGAGACATTGCAAAGCCAACAATCTTGTGGTCCTTCAAGGAGGGCTGAATTTCTTTTCCCAGCCAAGAGTTAGAGATGCTGGAAACTGTGGTCCAGAAACACCTGGATTGCCCATTCCTCCTTGAAATGTAACCCTTAAGGTCTCATTTGCAAGGAACAAGGGTTGGATCCCATTGAGTATCACCATAGAAGGTACTCCAAAACAGTGTTTCTCAACCTTGGCAACCTGAAGAGGGGTAGACTTCAACTACCAGAATTCCCCAGCCAGCATGTGTGTGAAAGAATTTGTTCAGCATCTGTCGGACAAAGTTGGATGCTGGCCTTGTTACAGGTCCAAGGGAGATGGCCAGGGAGGAATCTTGCCTAGTTATCTGGGAATGGTTTGAACCTGTTGGGCCTGAGGAAGTGGACAAGGTCTTTAAGACTGTGAGCTCAGCCATCTGCTTGTTAGATCCATGTCCCTCCTGGCTAACTAAAGCTGCCAGAGTGGTGGTGTGTGGGTGGGCTCTAGTGGTGGTGAACTCTTCCTTGAGTGAGGGGCTGTTCCTTCACCTCTTAAGGAGGATTGGTTCACTCCTTCTCAAGAAGCCATCACTGGCTCCACCACACTGGACAAGTTTCGTCTGGTATCCAACCTCCCCTTTTTGGGGAAGGTGGTTGAGAAGGTGGTTGCGCAACAGCTTCAGAAGACCTTGGATGAAGTGGATTATCTGGATCCTTTTCAGTCAGATTCAGGCCTGGATATGGGATGGAAACAGCGTTGGTCGCACTTTTGGATGGTCTCTGGTGAGAGTGGGATGGGAACTGGACATCCATCCTTGATCTGCTTGATCTTTCAATACCATCGACCAGGGAATTCTTCTGGATCAGCTCTGGGGATTGGGGGTGAATGGCACTGTGTTGTGTTGGTTCTCCTCCTTTCTCCGGGGTCAATACCAGTTGGTGGTGATTGGAGGGAGAGATCCCACCCTCGCCCAGGGTGCCACAGGGTTTGGTGCTCTCTCCCCTCTTATTCAACAGCCACTGGGTGAGCTCATCCGTCACCATGGAGTGAGGTATCATCAGTATGCTGATGATACCCAATTGCACATCTCTGCCCCTGGCAAATTAAGTGATGCTGTTGATGTACCTGGAGGCTGTGAGAGTCTGGACAGGGAAAACAAGCTTCAACCAAACCCTGACAAAATTAAGTGGCTCTGGGTTTGGGGTCTACCAGTTCTGAGGTGATGCCATCTTTGGTCCTAGATGGGGTGGCACTGCCCCAAACAGCCCCAGTGTGCAACTTGGGGTCCTCCTAGACTCGCAACTCCTGCTCAAAGAGCAGGTGGCAGTCGTGGTTAAGAGGGCCTTTGCACAGCTTTGTGCTGTGCGCCAGTTGTGCCAGTTCCTAGATCAGGAGGCTCTGCTCATGGTCACTCATGCCCTAGTCACCTCCCAGATAGACTACTGCAACATGGGCTACATGAAGCTGCCCTTGAAGAGTATCTGGAAGCTTCAGCTGGTGCAAAATGCAGTGGCGCGGGCAGTTATGTATACCCCTAGAACGGCTGCCAGTTTGCTCCTGGGTCCAATTCAAGGTGCTGGTGCTGACCTTTAAAGCCCTCCATGGCAAGGGACCAGGTTATCTGAGGGACCACCTCTCCCCGATTACATCTGCCCATCCCACCAGATCTTGTAGAGGAGACATCTGCAGGTCCCATTTGCCAGAAAGCTACATCTGGCAGGACCCAGCGGATGGTCCTTTTCTGCCATGGCACCCACCTTATGGAACATCCTCCACCCCCCTGCCCCGATGTGAGGTTGGCTCCATTCCTGTTGATTTTCCAGAAGTCCCTCAAAACTTGGTGATGCCATCAAGTCTGGGGGCCCCAGGAGACCTGTGAGTTGCAGAGGTGGCTCCATTGCTGTTAATATCTGCTGCTCTCTCTTTGCCTTTTCATCACAATTTTTAATTCTTTGGATCCCTTGATGGTTTTTTTCTATCATTGTGTTGTGGTTCTTACGGTGCGTTGCCCAGAGTCACGTTTTTCACGAGATGGGTGGCCATATAAATATGATGAATGAGGGAATGAATCAATCAATAAATGTGTGGACTTCGACTCCCAGAATTCCCCAATTCCGGGAGTTGTAAAGCTGGCTGGGGAATTCTGGGAGTCGAAGTCCACACCTCTTAAAGTTGCCAAGGTTGAGAAACACTGCTCCAAATGCTCCTGGAGTGAGAGAGAACTATAAATAAGTGAGCTGAGAAATTTACCTGGGATGAGGTAAGAAAATTCCTCTGGTTTTTTCTTCCCAACTCAATCAGGAAAAAAATATTTGTACCTGAGGATCAATCTAGTCAGGTACGAGCGACCAGCGTTGCGCTGAGCACGGGTTGGACTACATAGCCTCTCGCAACTCTGTGATTCTGTGGTGTGTGCATGCTTGGGAGAACATGCAACAGTGCGGTCTGGGTGCTCAGTGGGTGCTGCGGCCCCCTCGGCTTCTAAGGAATACAGTCAAGGAATGAATTCATTCCTTACCTGTTGGGCAGCCGTGGCTCCACCCCCTAATTTGCATACCACCTGGAGGGAGTATGGGAGGGGCTCCTTCCTCTTCTCCTCTCATCTCCTCTTCTTTCTGCCCGCAGCCCCCTCGCAAGTGCTGGCAGTCGACCAGCAGAACGTGGGTCAGAACAGCGTCACCCTCCTCTGGCGTCAGCCCCAGCAGCCCAATGGCATCATCTTGGAGTACGAAATCAAATACTACGAGAAGGTAAGGCCCAGCCGCCGACCCTTCTGGATTCGGAGGAGCTTTGGTGACGCTCGGCCACTGAAGAGATAAGCGTCGTAAGCGTCTTCCTCCGAGATTTTTGCATGCGGTTTTGATGCTGGGGTTCGACGTTCCATTGGCGCTTTCAATCAGAGCTCCGTTGGGCTGTCCCACCACTGCTGGAAGGGTTTTGGACTGGGCCCCGGTTTGGGAGAGCGACTTTGTAGGACCCGCTAGACCAGGTCTCGCCCACTCCCCCTGCAAGCAGGCAGCCGAATCAAGGCTGGCTTCGGCTGGGTGGCCTTTGCGAGGTCCTTTCACTAACACTTAGTCCATAGCTTGGGTTGCCAGCCCAGTTTCACCCCGTATCTGCAGTTACTTATTGTTACTTTATTTACAGCCCATCTTTTTACCCATTCAAGGTAAGTAGGTAGGTAGGAGGATGGAACGAAGGACGGCTAGATAGAAAACGGCAGGCAGGAAGGCAGGAAAAATGGAAGGAAGGGAGGGAGGAAGGAGGGAGGAAGGAAGGAAGGAAGGAAGGAAGGAAGGAAGGAAGGAAGGAAGGAAGGAAGGAAGGAAGGAAGGAAGGAAGGAAGGAAGGAAGGAAGGAAGGAAGGAAGGAAGGAAGGAAGGAAGGAAGGAAGGAAGGAAGGAAGGAAGGAAGGAAGGAAGGAAGGAAGGAAGGAAGGAAGGAAGGAAGGAAGGAAGGAAGGAAGGAAGGAAGGAAGGAAGGAAGGAGGGGGGAGGAACATTATCTGAATTCTTTTAACCAGTTTTCACCTTCTTGGTATTTCATATGCTATGTTTTATTTCATTGTTCATTTCTGATCTCCGACGATCACGAAAACTCATTCTCTGTGTGTGCATCTCTATCAGCCCACCCATTCCAGGTGGTTAACAATAAGAAATAAAAGTGTGGCCAACTTCCCACTGTCTTCCCCCCGCCCCCTGCGGGCACCAATGCATTGGCAGCCTGCCATCTCTTTCCATGCTTGTCATTCCTGACGTTCTTCAAGCTGCCGGGGATGCGCCTCCCGTCCCGGCCCTTGGCTTCCATTTTCCTTGCAATTTACAGCTCTTGTCGGCCCTGATTAGATTGTGAGTCCAGAAAGAATGCTAATGTAATTGCACTGAGGGCCCGCACACTCCCGTGCAGATGCACACTGATTAAATCATGGCGCAAAATGGAGCGGTGCTGCAAGGTCACGGTTGCATGAAAATGGGCCCCCCTCCTCTGCTTGTGCGAAACAGGAATTGCAAGATTGATTTTAGAAAGTTTTCAAACTGGGGGTGTGTTTGCCAAGGCTGGCCTGGGAACCCACTCTTGCTAGTCTTGGGGACCCTCTCAAAATCGGACGGGGCCTCTGGCCCGAGATCAGCGGCCTCTCCTCTTTCCCCAGGATAAAGAAATGCAGAGTTACTCCACTCTCAAGTCGAAGAGCAACCGGACCACCGTCTTTGGCTTGAAACCAGCCACCCGCTACATCTTCCAGGTCCGAGCCCGCACTTCTGCGGGCTGTGGCAAGTTCAGTGAGGCGATCGAAGTCGAAACAGCCAAAGCAAGTGAGATAAAATAGGGAGGAGGGCTGAGAACAGAGCTGGGGAGGGGGCGGTGGGCGAGGGCATTCCCGAAGCGGTTTCTGCAGAGGGCAACTGCATGTCAGAAAGAAACCACCTTTCCCAGGTTGGGAAGTGGCTTCCAAACCGGGAACCACTGCTTCGGAACAGAAAGGGAGCTTGGAAGCATGGAGACGAGATGGAGGTTCTGCAACAGCGATTTCCCCATCTCCTTCATCCTGCTTGAGTACACCGGCCACTAAAATCACACCCCTTTTTGCATGCGTTTTGCAAACGGATGCCCGGTTCTTTCCTTCCCCCGTAATTTTGCAAGATTTATTCCCAAATGCAATGTCTTCTTTGCATGCTGCTTTGTTTGGTATCTCTTTGCTGGCCTCAAGAAGCGTGTTGCAAGATTTGGGGAAACTGACCGGTGCCGGTGCTCGTTGGGCTCAAATTCCCTGTTCTCTTTCTCCCAGTAGCTCCCCAGTATGACACCATGACAGTTGTATGGATCTGCCTGACACTCATCAGCGGCTTAGTAGCCCTGCTTCTGCTCCTCATCTGCAAGAAGAGGTAGGTTTTTCCCCTCTGGGAAGGCTTGCTTTTGGTGGTCTCATCCAGATGTGCACATCAGGCCACGAGTGTGCCTTCAATCGCATATATCTTACATCTCTAGCAAGGGACTTCTTAAATAGACTCTATCCTGTAAAAGAAAGATTGTAGAATGACTGTGGAATGCCTCTTCCCGTGCGGAATGCCTCTTCCCACGTGGAATGCCTCTTCCCGTGCGGAATGCCTCTTTTAATATAATGCAACCTATAATGTAAATGCATTATATGTTTCTCTTGTTTTATGCTAATGATGTGGGACCTGGGGCCTTTTGAAGCTTACTCAATGATGGCTTTCAGCAAGCTTCAGCCAGCCTAACCACCACTGGACAGGAAGCTGGTGTTGGCTAGTGTCTGAAGGACTGTAAATTCTCTGTCTTTGATTGACTGATATTCCTAGAATGAACCAACTCATATTTCCTCTATTTTACTTCATTCTGATTCTCTGATACCTTTACAGCAAACATTCCTGAGGGTCCCTCTTGACCAAATTCATCCAAATTCAAGCTTCATCCACACCAATGTTTAAGCTAGGTGCTAGAATTTGATTTTCAAAGCACAGTCGTGGAGATTGAGATTATTTAAAAGGGGGCATGGCGGGAGAAACAAGCTGAAAAAGAAAGTCGAGCCAATTCTTGACTGCTTTAAGAAGAAGCGTTGTGAAACGTGTACAACCCACTTCCGTGGCCGAGTAACCCTTGTGTGTGCATTAATGGGGTGTCCCAGAGCGATTCAACCCGGATACATTGCCAAGAGAAATCGACACACTTCACAATTAGGCTTCTCTCCCGGTTTTGAGCTGTTGGCTTCACAGCTAGAACCTGTTTCAGCGTGGCTGGTTGGGGAGGATAAAGGCCAGATACAGCTCTCTGGTGTAATAATTAGGATATTTGTGCGGAGGGGGAGAGAAGACACTGTTAACACTTTGTCAACACGTATCCCTTCTGCACGTAACAGACACTGTGGCTACAGCAAGGCTTTCCAGGATCCTGATGAAGAGAAAATGCATTACCAGAATGGGCAGGGTAAGTGCAAGAACAAACTTGTGCAATTGCCTCGGTGCGGATTCACTTCTGCGCACACGCTCCGTGTTGCGGAGTCCCCCACTATTCCAAACACGTGTTACAGTGGTGTCCCTTCTGAACAGGACAATCCAGGTTAGATGGGGGGTGTGACGAGGGAAGATCGGTGGGGTCCTTGGTTCTCTGCCGGGAACATGTGCGTCAGGCGACCCAATTCTTCGCCCTTCGGCATGGCCACAAATGGCCGCGAAAGCGCTGCGAGTATTGATTTGGCGGTGATGAGTCAATTTTAGCAAGTGGGCAGATTGACAAATAGGGAATCCGTGAACGACGAGAATTGACTCTGCGTTGAGTGCCCATTGGAAACTTTGGTGGGACACAACCAAATAAGGGTGATGCCATTTTCTGCAAAGATCCTTTTTCTCTGCTAAATTAAGGAATAGGGTAGGTGTGCCAGGTTGTATATGCCTTATTACATTTTCTAAAAGATTCCAAGTCCCCAGCTGACCATTATCTATATCTATCTATCTATCTATCTATCTATCTATCTATCTATCTATCTCATCTATCCATCCATCCATCCCTTCATCTCTCCCTCCCTCCCTCTCACTATCTCTGTCCATCCATCCATCCATCCATCCATCCATCCATCCATCCATCCATCATCTA